TTTCAAATTTGGCTGTCACATGCGCTTATGTCTTATATACTGATACTCCAGAGCTGAAATCAAAATATCACTGGTGAAATGCTAACTCGGGAACCAGGCTGGTTGCTTTGATTTTATGGGAATATAAGTCCCTCATACGCGGCCATGTAGGCGTAAAATGAGCTTTGACGTACACATATGCCACGCGTTTGAACACTTCAAAACCATTTCACATAAAAAGCGATTTCACCAAACAGTCAACCCGGAAAGCTGAAATTATACGAGGATATTCTATGCATATGCGCGGAGCTCTAGAGCACGCTTAGGTCTCGCGCATGCGCAAGTAATTATAGTTTAGGGTAATGTTGGAACCCACTTGTCTCGGTAAACAGAGTGAGCAAGAAGCAGTATTTTTCTGAAAATGCTTACTGTTCCTTTTGGGGGCGAGCAAGCACAAAATGGGCTTTTGCTTAAGCATTCGATATGGCTTTGCCTACAGACGTATCAAATGTTCATATTTCGACGCTGCAGTCATCCTGATCTTTCAATAATTTAGGGAGGCGGGAAAGTTTGAACCTTATAGGAACTGCCTTCTGAAGTAGTACGAAAAACATAACCGCAGCTTTCATGCACGATAGCCACTGATATAGGAATGCGATAATTCCCAGATTACAAAATGCTTTGCCACCTGGGTTTTTTTTCTTGCGGACATCACTGAATGATACAGGAAATCGTAATGCAAGGAATGTGTTTAACATAGCGGGACTTATGCCACTAGAACTCTAGGTAAAGGCCACTTTAGATCTCCCTCACTAACATGCTGTTACGGGTAGTTAATAATATAAACAAAAAAAAAAAAAAAACAAAAAAGTGCTTAAAATTGCGGCGAGATTTTTTGATTTTTACTTTTCCGAATTTACGTTTTTTTTTTGATCACAGACTGAAATTGATTATAGATGCGAAAAAGCGAAGGAAATCAACCAGCAGCAGTGCGCTTTCTGAACTCGCCAAGGCAATCTATCCGCGTGTCACAGAACTTGTTGGATGCTTTGCTGAACTTGTGCGTATTTTTTTTTTTTTTTGTTACAGGATTGATTGTTTCCTTTTCCACTGGGGTGGAGATTGCTGGTTTGCTGTGAGCTTGAACGTGACGTGATCAGGAACTAAGAAATGGGAAATTTCATATCCTGCTGATTCTTTGGTACCTACAAAAGCCTTTAACATTGTCTTGGAGGCGCAATCGCCAACCACGTAGTGTCACAATAAACCCGAAACTAACTTAAAATACTATTCCACGTTGATTGTTTAGGACTGCTCCACAAACGATGCAAGACATGCGATGGCGGAATTTCCATGTCCCGAATTGGGCGTATTAGTGCATTGCAATGTTTTTCAGGATTTTAGAGCTAATTTATTAACTGAATTGACGCTGTATGTAAATCTTTTGGAAGGGAATAGATAGGATGCTGGCTATGTTGGCGGCTGCACTACGATGCAATAGCAATTATTACAAAGCATTTAAGCTATGAGAATGCTTCAGGTACGAACACAGTATTTGACAGATACCGCTCTGCTACAGTTGTGTACCCTTGGCACCGGACCGTTTTTTGTGGATAATGTTGGCGAGCTGCAGATGCAATCGATTACGCTTCTTTCAGCAATTTTCTCCCGTCATGATCACTGTCGACAAAACATAATTCAGGTTTGTTTGATACTGCTTGATCCTGTCCAGCACTCAACAGTGGCTGGAATTGATGACTTACAGCAGCAATGTAACTCAGCCTGTTTCGACCTCGTTTGCTTAATTTAGTGATTTGGATTTAAATTTTCTCCTATTTGCAAAATAGAGCACGCCTTCAATTGCTTTTTATGCATTTTCTGCATCTAAGCAGTGCAAAAACGCATGTTGTCGAGGGGTTATCTGCGTGTGCATCTCTACCGTTTTTCATCTCGTCACCTACAGGAGCTACAAAACTGAAACTTTCTTATCGACTCAGTTTGCTATAGTTGTCGTTTAAAGTGCATGCATGGCGCTGTAGCTTGAAGTGCGTGATGATGCCTTTTCTCTGTAAGAACAGTATGCGACACTTTTTCATCTTTGTGAGTAAAAAAACAAATTTTTGCAAGTAAGTAAAAAAACAATTTTTTGTAAGAATTTAATTGCTGTTAACCAGCCAAAAATTAATTGTTTGCTTACGTTCAGTCGTCCCGTTGTTATAGTTTGCTGTAGCACTATCACACTGCACCTGGTAGCCCTTCCTACGCTGCTCATTTTAGTGCTGCATCATCTGGCATCGACCTTCTTGCTTTTTTTTTCTCGTTTTCTCGGCGCTTACTTTTTCCACAAAATTGAAGTAATTACGCGGTGCCATTTGTAATTGTGCCCATTTTTTAAAAATATTTTTGTAACTACAGGATCTACTAAATTCGATTCATCGTCAGCCAGTCGTAAAAACGGCAAAAAACAGCTATCGCATGCCATCTGGGAAATTGATCAGCAATCTCACAGTTCTCGTC